GTCTAATGTGCAGATCGTCCAAAATGCTCCACTGTAGAAGTGGGTTTACATGTTTATAATTCTGCTAAATTATAATACTTTACTTGAAAACATGTACTCAACCTGATGGTTTTAAAGGAGTTGTTCAGGCTTTTCTGAAAACGATGCTAATAGCAAAAAAACTGGGGTTTTTACCTTGGGGAAAAAAAATCTGCTTCTTCTCTCTTTAGTGCCCCAGAGTTAACATTGTGAATTTTATTTTACCACATATTTTTGCTCTTTTGATATTACTAAGAAAAAACCCACTCTGTTCTAGCCTTTAAAAAAAAAGAGAGGATTAACATACCAAAGAAATTATTAACATATATTCAAATGAGAAAAAAAGTACCCACTGATAACTTGGCTTGACTAACTTAAGTCAATAACTGAACTTAAGACATTAGTAACAACTTTAAGCAACTACAGACAAGAGGTATCATGGCTTATTTCTTCATCTTTTCAATTGAAAAATTCAACCCTTGAGTCTCAGTAGACCAATTAGGAAATCAAATCAAACACATGAATTTTCTTTCCATTTTTTCTTTCCTGTATTTCTCAATCACTCCTTGCAAAAACAAGACTTGTTATTTAAAAGTCTCTATTTGAACCAAACGTACAGTTATCTGTCTTCAAGCAAGATCTCCCTTATGAATTCATGCCTTGAGTTGCTGTGGGCTGTTCATAGAACCTCAGTGATCCCCTTGGTAACATTTGGGGAAACATAAGAAGGGAGCAAACCAAGAGAAATGGAAACTATGACTAAAAACTTAAGAAAAAGAAGAAGGAACTGACCGGGGGTGAGAAGGAGAATGTAACTGGAACTGGCGGCTTAAGAAAGAAAGGCACACTAAGATAGGACTATAGGACAGTAAAATGGAAAGAATATGAAACACACGTGGAGCTTAAAATGAAGCCAGAGAAAAAGTTCAAAAGGGAAAACAGAACCCAGTAGAAAAGGAAAAGCTGGGAAAGGTTTGAGGGGTGGAAGAAAAAAGTCAGAAAGGTAGAACCAAAACCAAACCAAAACAACAACAACAAAAAAAAATTGTTATGCCACCAGAATGAAAATCAAGCTTAGAGAGACAAGCCCCCAAAGCCTAAATCTCACTCCTCCTCTACTGTTAGTTAAGTGTGCCTCATCACACATCCAAATTATGTTATCAAAATGACCAAAAATTATGAGAACACGAACACATCCTAGCTCTAAAAGCAAGACAAATAAGGACCACAAAATAAGCACTTCCATTTCTTTGTTCTCACCTGAAACAATTGTAACAGGACCCCGGATTTCAACCAGCTTTTGCCTTGTGAAGTTCTTAATAAGACATTTTATCACAGTGCTTTTCCCAACCTTGGGAGGGCCAACTACAACCACCACCACTGGAGGTGGCTCCAAAGGAGTGCGATCAACCACAGGAATGTGATGTTTTTTAGTCTTCAAATCCTGAGTTCTGAGAAGAAATTTGTAATAAATAAATAAATATATATAGGAACGCAATAAACAGCAACATTTATTCTTTGAAAGCCTTCAGTATTGGCAAAATCTTGGACACAAAAGTTCACCCTCAGCCCAGATGGTAATATGTATGTGGAACTCCCATGGAGTCTAAGCAGTTCTACCTTTTTTTTTCCACTGACCACAGAGCTGTACCATGTAACACAGATGCAGAAAGCACCACACTTCTGACACAAGCATAGACTACAACACAACCGGGTGAAAGATGGAAGCTATGCAGACACACCAGTGAAAATCACACTCTAGAATGCTTTCTAAACAAAGCAACCCCAGCCAACACCTGTCCACCCAGCCGACCCTGCATGCTCTATAACCAATTCCCACTTCCTACCGATGGAAGGTCCTGGCCATCCGCACAGCAGACTGCACCGTAAAGGCTTTGGGGTTTCTCTTCCGTGCATCCTGCTCATCTCCTATTCCCAGGTCGTTGAGATAACGCTTCCTTTTCTTCTCTGCCTTTGGCCCGCTGTGCTTCGCACGATGCTTCTTCTTCTCTTTTTCCTCCATCTTACTCTTCCAACAGTTGTTTACAACCGATGAGATGCAGATTTCCTCCGTGCGGTTCTGGGCTCAGCTGGCGCAGGAAGAGAAGGCAGTGAGCACACAGAGCACACACACGCAACACACCTGCAGGAGAAGAGCTCACCGCGCCAGCACCGGCTGACCAGTTCGGGACAGGAGCTCATTCTCGCACTGCGCGGCCTCGAGAGAGCGCACGGCAGCGCCGGCACCGCGGGGCTCCGGGCAGGCCTCAGTTCTCCGCCGGGGCAGCTGGCGAAGGGCACGGCCCGTACACCGCACACCGCGGGCCCCGAGGGCGGGAGAGTGTCCTCCCGCAGGGCCGCTGCCGACGAGCCGCCACCGAACACCTGCCCCGTGCAGTGCCGTCCCACCCACACTCCCGTGCGGTGCCGTCTCACCCACACTCCCGTGCGGTGCCGTCTCACCCACAGCCCTGCAGGGTCAGCCCGGGCCGGGCCCGCTCCGGTCCCGCCACCCCCTCCACGTGTGCTACCACCGACCGGCCTGTTCCAGTGCTCCCCCGGAAACAGCGGCTGCGCGCCGAGTTCCGGGCGCGGCGGCGGCTGCGGCGGAGCGCTATTTCCGGCGCACACGGTGTCCCTCCGGCCCCGGGACCAGGGAACGGGGAATCGGCCCCGGGACCAGGGAATAGGCCTCGAGAACCAGCCCCTATTCGCGTGTTTGTGAATAAATTACTTCCCCGCAAGCCCACGGTAGCTGCCCGGCATCGAGGCGCGGGGGTCCCCTCCGCTGTCCCCCCGTGTGAACCGGCTGGTGTGGCGCCAGCACTGAGTGTGAAAAAAGATTAAAAAATGGTCCTTGCCAAGGGCTGTGGGAGGGCAAACAGGTCAGAGGGTAAAAAGCCTGTGAAGGGCTTTTAAGGTGCGGTGAACTCGAACGCAGCCGCAGAATCACAGAAACGTCCAGGTTGGAAAAGAGCTCTGAGGTCATCGAGTCCAGCCAGTGACCACCTTGGCAATGACCAGGGCACTCAGTGCCACGTCCAGTCTGTCCTTAAACAGGTACAAACATGGATGGCATCCACCACCTCCCTGGGCAGTTCTCTCATCCTGTCACTAATGCACTTAAATGGGCGCTTTTTGCAGGCATTAAGCCCCCCACCCACAGGGACACGACCAGACGTGCAGGCCCTAGGTGAGAAGTGGGTCATTGTTTTATCTCAGGTCTGTGCCCTCGCCTGAAGGTGAGTCCCCTGAAGAGAGTTATAGGTACAGACCCTGCTTAATGAAGTGAAGAGCCTTCTCTGGGGTGATTTGCCATATGGCATGAACCGCAAGGCACAGGGCTGCTAAAAAGGTATCCAGGTCGTGAACTGCTCCTTCTGTGATGCTGGCCTGATCCTGCCTCCCAGGCAGGTGGCTTCCAGTGAGGATTTGCTGCAGTCACACTGGTCCTGCTGCTGGAGGAGGTGGCTCAGAAGAAAGGAATGTGATGTGCGGGATCCCACATCATGAGGAACTCTGCACACCCAGCAGCAGGGTAGGCCCAGGCTGACTGTAAATCACATTGGTGAATTTGGGTCCTCACTATCTTTTTGATAAGTTGTATGGAAGAAAATACAGTTTTCAATATTTAGCATGCAAAATCCTCTTTTCTCATATAAACAGAAGTGGTTTGCAGGCAGAAGAGTAGTCCAGTACTGAACACGCCTGGTTCCTGCCCCACTTCTTCCTCAGCATCACCTCCTCACATGACAGCAGAGATGCTGTTGGCATGCAAGTCCAGGGAAAGCTACTGATACCATTGCTGTGAAAGTGCTCCTCTGTGCTGAATAAGCACATAATTTCTGTTCTGGCATTCTGTACCTCACAGCAAGGAGAGAAAGTATATGGGAACATCACAGGAGTGTTGCATCCAACTGCTTTGCACACATTTTTCTTCTTTGTGAAGTATATGCTGGGTAGATGTGTTAAAAGCAACTTGTAACAACATAAAGAAAACCAGTAGTTCACAGAAGAGCTCTACTCTGAGTAGTAGGTAGCTCTGTGATGGAAAATTTTTTTGATGTTGTTGTACTTGCTCACAGGAAGCGTTCAGAGTGTATTTGACTTCAGTGCTAGAAATGTGGGTTTGCTAACAAGGGAAGGTGAAGACCAGATGAAGGGGTTATAATGCAATACTCAGTATTATTAAAGCAGCCAGAATTGACAGCTCAACACCAAACACCTACCACAGCTGCCTCACTGCAGCTTGGACAGAATAGGATGTCTACAGAGTGACAGGGAAACAGCTGAATGCACTGCAGGGACCAGCCTCACCTCAGACCTTTAACAGTGACCTTCCCATTCCTTGCCTGAGACCCCATGAGATAAGAGGGTGCTGGTTACCACACACTGAGATCAGCAGGGAGGATACTATGGGAAGACCCCGTGCTACCTGCCAGGTGCCCACTGACACCAGGGAGGAACCAAATCCCAGCCTTGTTGGTTAGTGGTGTGTATTATTCTTTCAGATGTCCTTTTTTCTTTTCCTCTTTAACTCTTTATGAAGTAAGGCTGTTTTGCTACACACTTTTAAGCACCACTTTCCTGTCTTTTTCTTGGGTAAAATTACTCTTTTTCTATCTGTGCCTTCTCATTAAGAAGGTCTTATGAGGGAGAAGGTATATGTAAATAAATGAGTCTTAATGGATTTTTTTTTTTTTCAAAAAATTTACTAAAGGAGTCATATATACGATCATAAATACAAACATCTCTTTATCCTTCGCTCTCAGAGGATATCCTTTGCTCTCTTGTGTTCAAAGTGCCTTGCAGCTATTGTCTAAAGCCATGGTTCTTTTGTGATATGTGACTGTGTCACATTCCTTCAGGTCAAGGCAGAAAAGTTACAGGCACAGCTAAAAACTACTGACAAAAGTCAGACATAATTTTCTGGACTTCTTGTACACACATCTCCTTGTACACACAACTCTATAGACAGCTTCTTCAGGGATATCAACTTTATTAATAAAATAATGGTCTGTGATTAACTTTATTTTCATTGTTCTTTTGCACTATAAACAAAGTAATTAAGTTAATAACATATGTATTAAGATCTAGGCATACTTAAAATATAAAAGAGCCACATTTTAAACACAAAAAAGGATTTGCTTGTAGAGTTTTCAGCATTGTAGGTCTGATACTTCTTAAACATGAAAGCATGGCAGTATCCTGAGACACACGTGAAGAACACTTCCATGATTACAGTGGTCTTCCAGACAGCCATGCATCTTGAGTATTCTGAAAACAGGCTCAGTGTGCAAATGCAAAGATAAAATTAATGTTTTTTCCTCTCCTCTGAGTGCAATTCTACAAGTTCATGACAGTAGAAACCCTTCATTTGGCAAATAGAAAATTACAATTTGAAAACAACAACAACAAAAAAGAAAACTTGCAAACAAGTTATACGAAAGGAAATCACAAAAATACTGCCCTTTAAAAGGCTACAAGTATGGTCATTTTTAAATGGAAACATTACACATTAAGTATCCAGGAAAACACATCTGTGTTCTTTATCAGGAGCACACCCAGTGAGCTGTCCCCTGCCACCACCAATGCTGGTTTTCCCATGCTTATCCCGTTCTCATGTTAATGCTTTCTCCACTAAAAGCTATAAATAAGTCTGTTTTCTACAGATTTCTCAAATTAAAGTAAGTGAATTATGACCAGAATAGAAACAAAACTCAGTGCAGTGAGGCCACAAAAGCAACGCCATAGTCCCAATCCTCCTGGCAGAATTAATCCAGCACAATCTGAACATAGAAAAATCCTCAGTACTGACATACTTGAGAAGATCAGGATGTGCATGCGAGTTAACATGAGGCTGCCAATAACCCAACGTGCAGGAATACTGCAAGCAGCTTGGTGACTGTTCCCCTGGGAGGGGACACATTTGGCAGGTTATTCTCCTGTAGCCCTTACTAATGTGACTTATCTTTCTTTCCCTTCCAGCCAAGGCACAAAACTCAGAGCAAGCACTCCACACTCAGACTTGCAAAACCTCTAGCCACTTACGACAACCCTGCCAATTGAACAAAAAACCACAATTTTTCGTCAGGCAAGCATGCCAGTTTCATGTGTGACCCAAATGACAGGTTGAACCTTGGCCACCAAAAGCAAACAGGAAACTTTTTTGCTCACCTTGCTCTGCATTTTGCTCATTCTCAAACAGTGCATCTAGCCCTGTTCCCAAAATCTCATTTCTCATGCCCAGCCAAGGAGTGTCATAGTCATTTACTGTCTCCAGCAGCTGCTGCCCATATGGTGTGGCTGGAGTGGCAAGTGCCCCTTGATAACCCCCTTCATGTTTTGGAAGGACCAAAGGAGGACTAGCATTACTAGCCGCAAGCAGAGGTGAACTGTGCCTCATCTGCTCCGGCTCAAGCTTAGGTTCCCCCTCACCGTAACTGAAAGTGAAGCCCTTTGCAAAGGGAGAAGTGTTTGACTTGATATACGAATAGTTCTCAACACCCAGGCCCTGGTTAGCATTGATGTAGTTTACGACAGGCCTCCTGTACACGTTCTCTTTAGCTGCCGGGTACTGGTGATCTTCCAGGTAAGTCTGGAAAACATCCGCATCTGAGTAGTAGCTTTCAGGGAAAGATTTCTTCAGGTGCGGATAGTCCTGTGCCTGCTGCACAGGAAACGAGAACTGAGGGGGGTTCCCCATGCTTCCCGCACCTAGTGGGACCCCTTTTCCCACGCAGTCCAAACCGAAATGAGCTGGGGTCTGACCCAGGGCTCCAAAAGTGTTATCCAAGCTCCTGAAATGCATGTCGAGCCTTGAGTACGGCTGTCCCGAGTAGGACGACGGCTGCCCGCAGTAGCTCTGGCTCGCTCCTGGCAGGCCTGGCTGCGGGCACAGGAGGCTCCGCTCCGCCGCGGGACCCTGCTGTGGCCGCTCCTGGCCGCCGAACTGAGCCGGCTTTGCCTTGCCCGGCCTGGGGTAGGCTGCAGTTTCGCTCTTCTTATGGTTCAGCTGCCGGGCTCTCCTGTTCTGGAACCACACCTGCGGGATCGGCAGAGACTGAGTGCCCGGACCGCCGGGGAAGCCGCCCCGCTGGCCGCCCGCCCGTCCTCCCGGCCCGCCCCTCTCACCTGGATCCGGGACTCGGGGATGTTCGTGAGGTCGGAGAGCTGCTCCCGCAGGGCGATGCCGGGGTACGGCTCCTTCTCGAAGGCGCGGACCAGCAGCTCCAGTTGTGCCTTGCTGAACGTGGTTCTCTTGCGCCGGCCTCCCTCTCGCCCCGCGCCGGGGCCTGCGGGGCGCGCCCGGGGCTCTCCTGGGGAAGACAGCGGGGAGAGGCGGTCAGCGGGGCCGGGCGGCGGTCTGTGCCCCCACGGCCCCGACACCGACACCAACACAGTCACCAACACCACCAACACCGCCACCAAGCCCATGCCCGCCCTGCGCTCCCCGTGGCGGCTCACCGGCGGGTCCGAGGCTGGCGGGGGTCAGGCTGGCGAGCTCCATGGGGCCGAGGTGTGCGGCTGGTGGGGCGCCTCTGGCCGCTCCGCACCTTTTGAGCCCTTCACCCGGGCCCTGAGCGACCCCCACCCGCCCAGCCCGGCCCCGCCAATGGGCCGCGGCCGCCGGGGCTCCGAGGGTGACTCAGAGCTGTCTCCCACACCTCCATTGTCATCCCATCACCAAAATACACATAACAAGGACTCGCCCCATACAAGGAGCCAAAGCGTCTCCCAGCGAAGCCCCCGCTGCCACCATCAGCCCATCTACTTTTCTTTAATTCAAATGAAGATTGGATAATTCAATGAAGGAATCTTTCACCTTCTCTTCAGCCCTCTAAGCGGGCTCCGTTTCTCTCTGCACCACAGGCCCGAGGCTCTGCTGGAAACCCAGTACTCCTCCAGATGCAGGGAGGCCTCCACACTGCCCTTCTCCTAAAAGGGAAACCATTCCAGCTCTTAAAACAACCGGGTGACAAGTCCTTGTCTTCCTCGTTTTGTTACCCTGCTCCTATTCCAGTCCATGGGACATGGACATTGACTTAGCTGCAGTAAATAAAATGCTGGTGGCTTTATTAGAAATTGCATTAACACCTGCTGTCCACAATAAAGGACAAAGCCCTCCCCAGCACACTCTGGGGTCACCCAGGGGAGATGGAGCAGGCTCCTTCCCAAGTGCATGCTGAAGAGCTCAGCACAAGGTTTTCCTTTCCTATGGCAGCTTTTATTTTCTCTCCAGACAGCTCTGCTCATCCAAGTCAGGTACAGAACTAGCAAGGTCTGTGCTATCAGCCCAAGGTGAAATCATGACCAACATACTGATCTAAAAGAGAGTCCAGAAATATTATTTAAGAGAGCCAAGAGTGACATAAGGGACTTACAGGGAGCAACAGTTGCAATGCTGCAAAGGATTAGATGTTAGAGCATCAGCAAATCAATTAGTCAGTGTAATAATTTGTCACTTGACGCCATTAATGGCTATCACTGAAGGTGTTCAAGAACAGCAGCATCATTACACAAAACTGTGTTTTTCATCTCATGAATGTTCCCATTCATTTTTCAGATTTGGGACCTGGTCCAGCTTTCTCTGAAGCTAAAGGGTACAGGGACAAAGTCCGTGAGCTGTTACATGCTGTTTGCATTCTGCAGGGACCAGTGTATCCACCATCCATGCAGCCACTTTGGGTTGAGCTGCACAAGGGTTTTAACATTACACACGCCACCACAGTGCTTCACAACAAAAAATTAATATCCTTCTAGACAGGGATGACAGTCAGCCCCTGTCAGTCTAGTACTTCAGAGACTGGATTGCTTTAGCAACTCTGTCCATAAGGCAAGCTAAATGCCCTCAGAAATCACTTTACCTAAATAAGATTTTCAAGCAGAAGTGCATGTGAAGATAGTGAGAATTTCAGAGCAATGATAGCACCAAACAGTCCAAAACATCTGGAAACAACAGCTTGAAGCAATTTCTCAGTACTTCTCCCCTTTCTTGTACCATAGCATCCCCATAAGCCTGAACTGTCATAGCACAGATACATTTCCACAAGATTTCTTTTCTCCTCCAGAGCTCCAGGATAGTTTGGAGTTTTTCCTGTCCCTGTAGAAGGTAAAATTTGTATTTAAGTGGGAGAAAGGAAAACAGGTGTTAGGTGACAAAGTGGTTCAGCAGTTCTAGGTAGAGTCAAGGTGAGCTATTAGTCCTTTGGCTTAATTTCACTTTTATTATTGGGATACATATGTAGACGAAGGCTCAGACACAACAAGCAGACATAATGCTTGGAGGCATAGTTTTTTTGACACTTTTGTCTACAGCAAATCCAACTTCAGCTATTGCTTCTTTTTCTGAGCATGCAGAGTTCAACTCTACCTGTCTTTAAGCCCCCACATGGCTTTGCACACACAGTCCTGGACATACCATCTCCGTTGTACACTTGCCTAGAAATGAGCCAAGAGCTCACAGAGCTACTCCTTGAAAAAAAAAAAAAAAAAAAAAAAAGACAACTTTTTTTGGGAAGCACCACCATGGGATGGAAGAGCATAGGGTAGGAGAGAATGGGTGAGCCTCCGTTTCAATTGGCACAATAAAGTATGGAATTGCATATAACTTTTCCACTCTCTCTGCAATTCTAGTACAACTGTCCATGGGGTGCATGATAAACTGGATCAAGGATACCAAGGATGTATTTAGGGTACAAAGAGACTTCACATATTCAGTCTGGCCACAAGGAAAGCTAGAACAAATGTCTTCAGCTTTCTTTCTGGATTTTCAATTTTCATGGCAGAAAACATCATGTCATAGAAATAACTACAACACAAAGCTGCCCCTGCAGGCAGCCTGCAATACCGATCTCAAAAGAACGGGGAAACCACCTCCTCCAACACACACATACACACCTTATAGACACAACCAGTGCAGAAGAGATAAGAAGGAGCCAGCAGAGGCTTGCACCGACTTGCACTGCTTGCTAATAGTGACTGTCCATCACGACTAGCTCGGGTCAAATAGACCAGGCTTTTGTTAAAGTCCTCTAGCTATGGAGAGAGCAGTTCACACTTCCCTGAGTTATTGTTTCAGGCACTCTGCCAGGCAGCCTCTTTGCACCCTTCATTTTCAGAGATTTTCTTTGCAATGCTAATTGAAAGAGATTGCGAGTTTTGTTTTTAAGTGACATTCCAGGAAAGAAGATAGCAATCTTTCCCTCCCCCTCCTCTTCCCCCTCTTCTGCTGAGACATATGGACTTGGCCTAACACAAGACTTTATTTCTGCCACATACACTAATCCAGGCAACGACACTGACCAGCACTTGCTGCCCGTGTTCCCTTGGCATCCTTGTGCTGCTGCATGTCAGTGACAATCGAAACAACTGTTTGTGAGCTCCCGCATCTTCTCTCTAAACTCTATTGGAAAAATAGTATTCTGCCCCCTATTTTTGATTCATTTCACAAATATGGGAATGGGAAGATTATGGGAAAAGAAGCAGGAATACCCAAAGCAGAATGCATAACAAAACCAGCGTCTCTTCGGTTCATAGATTTTCTTCAGAATTAATGGAATTTTGCTATAGATTGAAGTAGGGTTTCCAAGTGTGGAAACCCATTCTGTCAAGGTTCTTTTATGCTTGTTGTAGTATAAGTACATCTACAGAGGAGTCCAATTCACATGTGGAATACACTCAAAATAGAACAGAAATGGAAGATATGTGTGTAAAGTGCATTTAGGAGAGACAATATTATTGTTAGACAATGACTAGTTACAGTGCTCTTTAAAATGGTACTAAAAAAAAAAAAAAAAAAAGGGTTGCGTCTATCTAATCCAGGGCATCGGGAGCACCTCTATTCTCTCCCTCTAGAGCAGCCCTTGAGTTCGGAGTTGCAAAGGTGACCCCAAAATTCTGCTAGCATAAATGGGATGCCGAATTACCCAGTACAGCATGGGCTCTGTTACAGGCGCCTGCCTGGGGAGTCTTAGGACAAACACTCTTTAAGAAATTCCTACATCAAACAATTTCTAGGGCAGTACAATGCTACTGATGTTTGAGCAGAACTTTCATCCTGAAGGAGGCAAGATCAATTTCACTAGATGGTCTTCAGACATTAACACCTCGTAAAAAGGATGCTCATGTGCTGCTTATCTGGAGTGCATCTTTAATTATCTTTTGGTACACCTTTTGCAGCCCATTACTTACTGGTCAACACTGCTTTAATTATGGGCTTGGCAGTAACAGGCAGCTCTTACATCACTGAAATAAAAATGCTACAAAGCAATCCCGGAGAACTGCAAAGAGATTTCATGTTCAAATGGAAAGTGGTAGAATTCAGCAAAGGAACACGGATTCTCATCCACAAAGATTTCACCCTAAGTTCAGTACTGTCATGGCCAGATGTGTCCAGGAACTCTCCAGAAAACATGAGCAGACAAGTGAGGTTGTGTTCTCACCTGCTCTTCGGGGACAGGGGCATTTACAGCAGCCTCTCTTGTTTTGAAAAAAAATTCAGTGCACAGACAGGCACACTTACATGATATGTCATCAGGACAAGCAGGATGGAGGCACATTTCGGACCTTGAGCAAAAAAGGGGGTGAAATTTATGATAATCCTTGCTTTCCAAGAGAATTCATCACCCAGTCCAGAACTGGCTCTTGAGAGAGCTGTCACCTGCACTGAGCTTTCCCTTATAGTAAACATCTTTATATTGCCAAAGCCTTTTCCCTTACATGAAATGAATGTTGTTTTTAACACTTGAAGGTGGAGAAAAACAATATTGTTGAAAACACCATTCACTTTTGAGACATACCAGTCATGCTGTGACTTAGTTCCCACTAAAATCTGTAGATTTCAAGGTGAAAAAGGCATTAGACCGGTTTCACATAACTTTGAATAGTCTCACACTTAAGTTTTTCTTGTATTTAACTCTTAAAATAATCCATGGAACTGATTGTAATTATCTGACATCTAGAGAAATGGTAAAAAAGGGTCATGCTTGCTAAGACTTAATGTCTGCTAGCCTGATATTTAACCCTTCAGTGATAACCAAAAATGCATACCCGTCTAGGATCTATAACCAGCTCAGTAAGCGATATGCTGGTACTTTTACTTAGTAATTATGATGATGACCTTGGTCATTTTAACCCCAGAGATTTCCTGATATGGATGAGAGTTTCTATTTTGTGAATTTATTCAGTCTTTTTCTGAATGTATGTAAAATTTTAGCTTCCAAATCATCCTCTAACTAGGACTTAACCATGTGTTACATGAAACAATGCTTACCTTTATGTGTTCTGAACTTGTAGCCTGCTAAAATCATTTGTGCTTACTGCCTCCAACACAAGAATGTGGAGTGACCTTCGCTGAATCCAGCAGTTCACACTGTCCATTTTTTTATCAAACCCCATCACTTCCTACGCTCAGCCACCTCTTTTCCAGACTGAAG